CAAACTTTTTCATAATTGTTCAGTCCACCCATCAGGACCTAATTTATTCATTGTATTAGGTTGTCACACATGAAATGATGCACTTTATAGGAAATGAATAAAATGTTTCCGAAATGTTAAATAACTAATTTATTTAGTTGAAATAGGCATCATATTGATGTATGACAGTTCTACAATGTACCTCCAAATTCTTGATCCCACCTTTAAAAAAAATTTCATCCTTTGATATGATAAATAGTTCAAATGCTTCAATTACCTCTTCATTATTGGAGAATGTTTTATTGTATATGAAAAGCTCAAAATGCTTAAATAAGCAATAATTATTAGGAGAGATATCAGGTGAATATGGAGGATGAAGCAAAATTTCATGATTCAGGCTTTGCAACTTTTGGACAGTTGATTGAGAAGCGTACAGCAAAAATTGGTCCATCCCTATTCACAAGTCAAAGATGTTTCTTTTTCAGTTTTTTTCCTGCATACATCCAATTTCTCCATAATACAAGGTTGTTATTATTTTCCCTTCAGGCAAGAATGAATAGAGGGACCACCATATACTAATCATAAACTTTTTAGAGTGCAGTAGAGGTTTTGGATATTGTTTTGGTGATTCACTTGCATCTAACCATTAGCTTACTCTCTTACTGTTGTCAAAGACTATCCATTTCTCATCGCATTTAATGATTTGATGCAAAAATGGTTCTTTTTCCCCCAGTTCCTATTCATACAGTAAGATTACTCAACATTGTATCATTGTAATCATTTTCATTGGGCTTACAAGTAACAATTTATTGAAAGAAAAATTATCTGGAAAGAAAAAAGAAAAAGAACCAGGAATAAGTAAAGATTTTTTTTATATACTAAGGAGATTACTTTATTAGATGATCGGATCAACAACCAACCAAAAAATGCATCATTTCATGTGTAACAACCTAATACTCTGTTCACATATTTTTATAATCTTGTAAATAAACATTGTCAAGGGAGTGATGGTAGTACAAAATAATAGTGATGTCAAGGGAAAAGCTCTCCTTTAGACACACCATATTTTTTTTGCAGACACAAAGGTTAAACATTGCCCTATAATCTCTAGATCCATTCAAAATCTTGAATGTAGGAGTAGACAGGTTTGCCTATCATCTTAGTTCACATTCCTCCTCAACCTTTTGAACTGGAGTAGACGAACTTGTTTCCAGTTTAGGAATGGGTTTCCGGTTCCTTCTAAAGCTTTCTCATTCTCTTTCACTTCCAGTAGACCCTTGCAGCTTAGTGGCATTATCACTTTGCTGGGGGTGAATTGATTAAAAAAAAAAAAAAAGAAAAATCAAAATCAAATCTCTTCAATTTCTTGTCTTCCAAGGAAACAATGTTGCAACATTTGTCTTTGGTGGTAAGTACACTTAATGAAATCTATCTTCACTTTTGAATAACTTCATTTTTTTTTTTTAATGTCTTTGATAAGTCAGAATATGCCCACCGGCCTTAGCATCCCTAAGAGAGGTCTTACAGCATTATATTTTCCATTGATGACACCAAAGATCCTGGTTGCATCCATTACAACTTTGGTTATGATTTTCAGATAAGGCAAACTAAAAACACATTTGTTGCTTAGTGACAAAGGATCCGTCTTCCCAAGATAGTACCACCTTGTTGCACTATTGTGTAGGTTAGGAATGAATGAACTTATATCAGCATTAATAACTAAAACTGCTGGGCTATTTTTGAATGACCCATCATAAAATGCAAGCCTGAAGTTTGTGCTATGCCCAGTAAGTATACAAATTCTTTCACACCCAAAACTGATTCAGTGTCATATTTTGATTGAGTGATCTTTTTACACCTTATCAACCTTTTGTGGGCTATTTAAAGCCAAAACATATTTTGCATTCTAAGAATAATTGTATCTTTGCAAGTGAATATTGTATTAATGAGATTTTTTTTGTTTTTTTTTTTTATAGAATTACAATGATTTTTCCAGACATAACTCTTAGTATTTAACCCAAAGCTGAGTTGGGGGAGATTCATACCTTTTCTAAGGGTATTTGTGTGGAAGTCAATATAACACACCTGTCTGGAATTTGAACACATCTTTCCAATTTCTCATTCTGAGCCACTATCCATTATACCACCTGCACATTCACTTGGCAGATGAAATGGATTTATGTTTGCACTATTTGAAATTTTATTTGATATTAAAAAGAATTATAGTATATTATTTCAATACAATTAATTTTTTAGTCATATTTTAATTAATTTTTATATTATGCAAAAAAATTATTAAAAAAAAAAACAAAAAAAAAAAAACCCTTTTTACAATCATTATTTCAATGCACATAAATTAAGACAAATTTAGAATGTGTGGGTGGAGTAATTAATCGCAGCTCAGAATAAGAAATCAGAGCCAAGTTCAAATTCCAGTAGAGTTGGTTACATGCAAATACTCTTGGGAAACGTATGAATCCATCTCTTCTCCCCACCAGCTATGGGTTCAATAGTAGTGCAGACTGGGCTCTCTAACCAGAAAGACAACCCTGAATTCAAAACAAGTTAGTGGAATAATGGATAGATAAAACATCTTGAACCTTGGTTGTTAGTCATTCTAGATATGATGACTATATGTAAAAAAAAAAAAAAAAAAAAAAACACACACACACATCCCTCAACATCCTGGTTACTTGTGGAGATGTGTCAGCCAGTAAAACATGCACAATGATTGAAATTAAATTCTTACATTAGTTGCACAATCTGCAGTAAACATGGATAACATGTCCCCATAAGACATCAAAAGGACATTTTTTTCCCATGACACCAGTTTTAACTACCTTCACTCTTCGGCAATGTTAATGTTTTAAGAAGCGATGATTAGAATTGGAATAAAATCTAAACATGTTAAGTGACTTTATGCATATTTTTTGTTCTTGAGAATTTACAACAAAAATATTAAAACACTATTTATTAGATTGTTTATTTACAAGAATATTTTTATATTTACAATATTCTAAAAACTAATACAATTAGGACTAATGTAATGCAAAGAAATGAATGTAAAGACAATTTTTTATTCATAAACTTTTACTAAATTATCAAAATATGTGAACCAACTATAAGGAAATCATTACTATTTATCATTTTATTAAGTTTGAATTAATTAGCAATTAGCTGATGTTTTGCCAACCATTTCAATAAATAATATAATGAATAGTGTAAATAAATTTAATAATGTTTATTTTGTTGTCAATTCTCAAGAACAAAAAGAATGTATAAATGCACTTTTATATATTATTACAATTCTAATCATTGCTTTTTCAAACAATAAATATTGCCAAGAAGTGAAGGTAGTTAAAAAAGCAATGTCATGAGAAAAAAAAAACATCCTTTTGACATTGTTTTATTATAGACACATTCATCTATGTTTGTCCATTTTTTTGTCTCTTCCTCCCCACCCCATTTTATAATATTTTTGCTTTTCTGTAATTTTAAAAGTCATTATCATCGCAAGAGTTTTTGGACAATATAAAATTATTGCTTATTCAACTCCAGACTTCATCTATTAATATTGATGTGTGTATATGATTTTTTTTTTCTCCAAACATGGATACTTCTTTTCATGAGAATGTAAGTCTCTAAGTGCAACTGTGTAAATCTTTTCACATCAGGAGCAGCCATTGACATCCTGCAAGCTTGAAACTGCACCTGGTAGCAAGGTCAACTTTCAGGTTAACCCATTGATGCACATGGCTTCTCTGATGGTCTGGTGTGATGGTAAGTGCAAAATCTATTTTGGTATCATCTAAGGTGAGCCCAGTACATTTTATAAATTAACTTCTTTTGGAACAAAGAGTCCTTATTGACATTAAATCCAATTCAGTCCATCTGGTATTTCCTGGCGTGAATCGCATACTACAGTAGAAATAGTCTTTCTTAAGAGTGTTCACTAGAACACTAAAATGACGACCAAACAAAAGCAAAATGGTGGTAGATATACTGATTGAACCAAACTATTAGTACCATAATCTACTTCTTTCCATTCCGATTACACCTCCCGGAGAAGGTTGTAGCTGAAACATTATGGTAACAACCACCTTTTTCCACAGACACAATGTTGGAAGTTTTTTGCTACTCCATCAATATTTTTGACAAATTTTCAGATAAGATCTACTCATCAGTTCTACCATTTCAGACCTTTACAGCTAAGATACATCATGCTGCTTCCATGGAGGCAAATCATCCTCATTTCGTTCAAATGTAAGGAGAAACTTCCAGTCAGGCAGCTTTTCACCAAGACCTGCCATTTTGTGCAACAGAGTCCCGCATAGTTGCTTCCCTGAACACTACAATCTTAACCTCTACAAATCAAGAGTTAATCATTATTATTATTCTACTACTGTCTCTTTCATTCATATCATTCACTATAATCAATTTAACAGTCAGCCTCTACATTGAGGAGCTCTTGAGTGTTGAGTGAATTTTAGTATATAAAACTGTGTGTGTAAAACAGAAGAAGAAGATCAACAATTCAGACAAATCTTGATAGAATACTTCTGCTTACGTAACAGCTTCTTCCTGCAAACCACTGCTCTGTGGAACTGACTCCAAAGAAGATGTTTCCCCGATCACTACAATCATAACCTGTTCAAGGCTAGGGTTATCCATTATCTTCCACACCTATCCACACAAATTACCTCCTAAAGTAACCCTTTACCTGAAGTGGTCCCTGGGCCTTGTAAAAGGTGAACCTTACCATAAAAAAAAAAAAATTAAAAAAAAAGTTATTTATGCTTACTGGTCTCTGTAGAAAAGATTTTATATGAATGTTATTTTACAGTAAGTTCATAAATTAAAATTTCATAAACAAAGTGTCTGTGAGTGTGGCATGGGCTTCAATAAGAAAATCTATTGAACAAGATGGACAATTACTGACTAAAAGAAATAAAATCTTTATTGTCATGCAAAGATTGAAATGAATCAAGAATTAGATACAATAATAATATACAAATGAGGTTTTAGATTTCTGGGGATACAAATGATTTCTGTATTGTATCTGTTGTGTCCATCATCTGCAAAGAAAAAAAGAAAATTGAAGTGAATAGTGGGCATTTTGTATAAAGGACAACAATAAAGAATCAAAGGTACTGATTAAAAAAATAATCAGTCAAAAATGAAACCTTATACTGCGAAATATACCAACATAATTACATTTAAGACAAACTGGGGAATCAAATTAAAGAAAAAAGTCTATCCACTGTTATGAGGTACCCAAGTAAGTATTCATTTTATACAACTTTTGTGGGTTATTTAAAGCCAAAACATATTTCAAATTGTAGGAGGTTGCTCATTGTACCCAGTGTTTTCAAGTGATCCTCCATCTAAGTACAGTAATTGACATTGCTTAACTTCCATGATCAAATTTACATGCAGATTATACATATAGGTAAGACCAAGCCTATTATTATGGATATATATATATATATATATATATATATATATATATATATATATATATATATATATATATATATATATATATATAGTTAAATGTCAAAGTGACATTATATATTGAAAACTTTAAAAAAACAGAAAAATAAACAGAATTTAGTTTTATTTTTTATTTATTTTTTTTTTTCCACCTGAAATTTTGGGATCTTCAACATTGATTGTTATTTTGGGCTGACCTCTCCAAGTTTCTTGAATTGAAATATCTACTTGCAATTTCTTTTAAAACAATATCTTTCACTAGCAGCTTTGATATTAATACTAAAAGTACAAACTTGTATATAACATGTAAGTAGCCGAAAGTGCACATTGTAGTCAGAAGCATTGAACTGAGGGACCGCTCCTTATCCCCCCAAAATTCAGGTGATTAAATGATAATTGTTGACACGCTAAACGAGAAAAATAAATTCAAGGGAGATCACTCTTAAATACTGAATATTATCTCTTCATGTACAAAAAGTAAATTGACAAGGGGGATAATAATTCAGTGATTTTTTTTTTCATAGTTTTCTCTCGAAAACGACTCATAGGGTTGTTTTCAAACGTAAATTTAAATTTCTCATAGCTTCATTTCCATTATTGGCGCATTTGAATTTATACAAACATAAACATTAAAAAATGATGAGTTTTAATGCCTTTCCATATTTCATTGGTGTAATGCTAAAAGTGGGTAAGTGTATTTTTTTGTGAAATAAAGAAAATGAAATAATACTCCATTGGGACCCACCTTCACGAAAAGTCTTTGTATCAAAATAATAATATCTATTATCTACGTTGAAAGAGCATATTGTAGCCAGAAGCATTGAACTGAGGTACTGCTCCTCATCCGAGAAAAGTTAAGGTGATTTACAATTAAAAGATAATATTATGGGTTGTTGACTGGCTGAACTAGAAAAAAAAATTCAATGGAAATCACTTATAAGAATCAGTTTGCTCATTTTAAAAAAATGGAAAAACACGAAAGGGCATCTGCCAACTTACACCCTTTTATTGATCGATTCATTTTCTACAGTTCATCAAAACTTTGCTTGCTATTTGAAATCAGAAAATAGTTTTAGCTTGTAAGATTTTTTAAGGAGGCGGGGGAGATAATGATTTAATGATACAGGTCTTACTAATTATACTAATTAAACCAAATCATGGGGAGGGGGAGAAGAGGTGGATTCATACCTTTCCCAAGGGTATTTGCGCATAACTTGAATTAGAACTCGGTTCTCCAGTTAACAATTCCGAGCTGTTACCATTTATACCACCCACACCTCCAAGCTTATAGCACCTGGTATTCCCAAGCAATCTCTCATCTGACAAGGCTCAACATTGCTCAACTTCAGTGATTGTATGGGAAACAGTATTTCAACATGGTATTACACCACTTTTAGAATCACACAAATGATTTATCTTTAAATGTAGGAAAATTTAATGAAATGACATTTTTACTAAATAATTAATATCAGATATATTTTGAAAATAAATTTTTAAAAACATCAAATTTAAAACATAAATTGAAAAATTCATGTTTTAAAAAATCTTACACAATGACAATATCTTTACAAGGAAGCCAGAAAATGAAACCCCAAAAATCCTACAATACAAACAAAAGTTAAATGCTGCCAACCTTTTTGAAGAACAAGGTATGGTCATCAAGTTGCTCCTTGGTTCTGAGGAGCATTTTATTCCGAAGAGATACAACATCTTTCAACTGCTTATTTTCCTCTTCCAGGTTCTTTAGCAATTCTCTCAGACTGTCACGAAATTTTATCTTCTCTGGCATCAGATGTGCTCTGACATCATCTTTTACATTGCCAGTTGGACGCCTAAAACAAAAGCAAGAACAATTTACAGCAAGTTAATCAAACACAAAAAGTATCAATGAGAAAGTAGTTTAAACAGCTTTGACTCCCCAACTTATGAAAGCATTTACATATATTTAAATCAACAAGACATATTTACTGAGTATGGTATTTTGTCATAATACACTTCTTTATAGAAATACTGTAATCAAATTTGACTAAATCTTAAGCAACCCTCCTACTGATGTCAGTGTGGCTTAAGAAAATTACAACCAGTGAGGGAGAGAAACAAATTTTAACAAAAAGTTTCTCTTAATTTCTGGGAGAAGTTATTATTTACATGTAGACTCCTCATTTTTGTTGTTGTTATTACATTTCAACTGTTGTGCCCTCTGACCTTCATCAGGTATATGTCAATACACAATAGCCTAGTGGATTAAGGCATTAGTTTGTGAATTTGGTGATATAATAATTTTAAGTTCAATCCCTGGGCTGGACAGTGTGTACTTTGATTCAATGGAAACAGGGCAAGCACTGAGTGTTACAAAGAACTAGATAAGATATCCCTAGAATGGGCAATGGAACAAGAAGTCTAGCCCCATAGATTAAATAAATGTTTCAGTTCAAAGTTTCCTGTAGGTTACCTGGATTGACATACACCTGATGAAGATTGGAAAGCAGATTGGCAAAAATGTGATAACAAAGACATGAAGCAATAGTCCGCATATAAATAGTATAAATGAACAAAAAACAGTATTAAATACATTATCTTATACTGATTTTAAGAAGTCTACCAGTTCTACTAGTTTACTTAAAATGAAATGTTTTTATTCTTTACTATTTATCAGTCCCAAGCATAAAAAAAAATTGAAGCAACTTGAGAACAAATTCTTGTACCAAAAATAAGTAACCAGAGTTCTAGTCAAAATCCTAAGTTGCTTATAAAAAAAAAAAAAAAAATTTATAGTAGGACACCCAGTGAGGATCAAAACCACTACATTAACACTGGTGTGAAAGAGGAGTTTATAGCTATCACATGATGACAGAGAGACACCCCACAATAAATAAACTGAATCTTAAAGCTCAAACCGAAGACAATTTAATCTATATTATCAATTTGTGTGTGTGTTGCAATTTAAGGAGGCCAAGATTGGTTCAGTTTGGTTAATTCATTTTCTACAACTTATCAACTTTTTGCAGGTTATTTAACACACCAGAAAATATTTATAGATTGCAAGAATTTTTTTTTTTTTTTTTTTGAGATAATGGTTTAGTGATACAAGTCTTACTAATTAACCTTTAGCTGGGGGGAGAAAAGGTGGATTCATACCTCTCTTTCCCAAGGGTATTTGCACATAAGTGAATATAATGAATCCAGTAGGAATTGAAACTCGGCTGTCCAATTAACAATTCCAAGCTATTACCCATTAAACCACATGCACAAAGAAGTTACTGCACTTGGTACTCCCAAGCAATCACCCTTCTGGCCAGGCTCAACCTTGCTTAACTTTGGTGATTGTATGGGAACCAGTGTTTAAACTTGTGGCCATAAGCCTATGCTAACATTGAAAGAAGCCAATTCAAAAAATATACTTTGTCTTAAAATATTGACAAGTTAAAAAGAAACAAGAATTTTTCATGAAGCTGTGGAATTTTGTGGTTTTGACACTTTTTTTTTTTTAAATTCTTTCATTCACATACATAAAGAAATAGGTTTAAATTCAACAAAAAGCTCTTGTTATATTAAGTACATTCAAAAATTTCCAGCACATTTTTAAGACCAATAGCTTTTGGGAAGGGACAGTGTCTGCTTTTACTTTAAATACCCAACTTGTAGGAAGCAATTTAACGTAAAATTGTATCTGATTTGATTTGTTCATTTAATGGCATATAAACTCTTTATGATTCATTTAATACTGAAATTTAATTTTCTTAGGAGCTTTGAAGTAATAAAAATATGATATACTAGCTTAAAAGCTGCCCTATTGGACAGCATTTAAGCTAGCTCCTGTGAGGATTCTTGATTGGGCCTTCATCACAATAGGTAAGGAGGAATAGATGTGATAAACTACTGAAAAACTCAAAACTGATCTCTGCATTAATATTTAAACTTATCTTTTAAAAGTTCAACAATAATTCTTCTACCATCACTTAATTTAAAGACAATTTGATGTACATAGGTCCTTACTTTTTGTACAAACAATTACTTTTATTTCATGGGTGACTTTCACTGAATTTTGCAATTAATTTTCATTATTCCCAAATTTATTTCCAAGTTATAAAAATTGTTATAGTACAAAAAGTTTCTCGTAAAAAATCATGTTAAAAAAAAATTCTCTGAAAAAATTGCAGTAATGAAAACTTGGGAATCCCAAATTTTAGGATTGTGAGTCCATATGCAAGGATGGATCAAGCAATGACATTATTCAAAACCGAGTTGGAGCCAAGACAGACAGACAGCTACTTCCACCCCTGAATCTATATGCCCTCCCACTACATCTATGATATGGGCCCCTCTACTACATCTCAATTTTCATAAGGTAATATTCATATAAAATATGAATTTTATTGTAACCTAATTATGTACAATAATGGATCGTATGCAATATCAGTGAATAATTCAACTAGAAAAATTGAAAATAAATACAATGTATATAAATGAAAATTAAAGAAATGTCATAATAGATCATTCCATCTTAAATAAATCAGAAATTTTTTGCAGCAATTTTTTAAATGAAGTTAAGATTTTTCTTGTTAAAAAGTTAAATAATTTTAACACATTCAACATTATGGCTAAAAAATAGTGAATTTTATAGGGTTTTTTTTTTTTGAGATTTGGCATGAACAAAACAAATTCACAGATTTGGTCCCAAAAAGACTCCAGAATCACTTTATAATGAAAAAAAAAAAATTTTTTTTTTCATCCTTTAACAGTCACTTGTGATTAATTTAATTTGTAATGTATATAAATGTATGTAAAAAAAAAAAAAAAGCAAATGTTGAGAAGACAAAAAGAGTCACAAAGCACTGCCTGGGGCACCCAATCAGGCTAAATTGGGCTTTGGAGACAGTACACATTGGCCCAGATAGACATTCTATGTCTACGGAATATATAAATCAAACTGTGAATAACCTTCTGCAAGCGTGACTGCTGCAGATGCAAAACGACATCTGAAATCAGGCCTTTTGACTCACATGAGTCATCTTCAAGGGTGGGTGGGGGTGAGAAAATATTAAGAAAATCAGTGTTTTAAGCAGTTCATTTTTTTTTTTTTTTTGAGAGTGTTGCTATTATAGGTAGCCTTGATTTTGGATATTTTTTGCATCTGCAACAACCATGTTTGCAGGCGATTCAAAGTTTGGAAAAGATGAGGGATAAACTCAATAAACATAAATGTCTATCGTTTTTAATAAAATGTGTTTAAAAAGAACAAGTGCCACTAATTATACTAAATAAAGAGAGATAAGTAGTCGAATATATCAGGGAATTAAAACTGAAACCAGAAGCTCCATAATGCTAAGAGAAACTAAAGAAGAAATTACAATCTACATATAGAAGGGTAACTACAAATGACACAAAGTAAGAATGTGAATTATCTCATAAAAAGGTATTAAATTATTTCAAACTATCAGCATGATGACAAATTCCATTGAAAAAAAAAAGAAGTAAAAAAAGTAAAACTAATAATATTTTTTTTTAGGAATGTTATGATAACTCAAGTGCACAAGAAAACTGAAAGTCACAACAGATTAAACATTGCGATAATAAATCTGAATATAAATAGTGTAAATTATGCTAATTCCTCATTACAGAAATTCTGAAATAAAATAAAAAACATCTATTATTATTCAATGGTGAATAAAATGCTATTCATTCAGTTTAATATTCAATAAGTATTGAACATAAGTAAAGGTAAAGCAAGTTTTCATGTAAGTGCATTGCAATTGGAAAATTATTTAAATATTACTGTCATTTTTTTTTTTTTGATGACCCAGGTAAACTAATAGAAGAATCAGTGATTGCCCCCAACAACTGGCCCCACATATTGCCAAATATGAATGAAAAGTGTCACTGCTGACACAAGAGTTTGAACATGAATCTCTAGACAATGAAAATATAGACTGCCATTTACTATAAATAGTGATATCATGCCACTGAATTGGTGGTTACAATTATGTGTTGATTATTGCGTTAACCCGGACGTTAAAGTAGAGTGTCACATGTTTAAATTTGAATTAGTACTTTCTTTGCAGCTCTACAGTCATGTATTAACTGATAAGCAATCAATAATCTTTCTGTTGACTCTTTACTTCTTTGTTGTTAATATATTTTTATTGTGTTTGATAATTACTTTATTATTTTACATTGAAGTCTTCCTGTTATTACTTGTATTATGTACATGTGACAGATTACAAAACTTACCATACAACGGAGTTCTTTGGCGTTGGTGTCTTGCAAATAAGAACATCCAGATCATTCATTATCTGTTCAATGTTTTCTTCTGCTAACATCAATTTTGCTTCAGTCTAACAAAAAAAAACAAAAAAACATTATAACAGAACTTTTTAGAAGTTGGGAAATAATGGAGGGTTTTACAAACAAACACAAAACGGATATAGAACAGTAAATTATTAACTATTTCAAATGATATTACAGTAACTTGATCCTATCCCTAAAACTGAAAATACATTTGAAACTTAGAAAAAAAAAAAAAAAAAAAAATTAGATAAAAGATTGAAAGACTGGATACCCCACCTCCACAGTCAAGGCTGACAATAAAAGTAACAGTTATTTTACTGCAACTGCCTAACTGGACAGTTCTGGAAATGTGGTTTTCACAAGTGCTCATTCATTGTCAACCATTATGACATGTCAGTGATGAGATCTTTATTGTCAAGTTATCTGCTGATGAGACAATGCAAAGAGAAGTGAATTCATGCCCTTCTCAAGCGCATCAGTGTGAAATGCACACAGGCAACCTTGGCTACAATTTAGTTCCCTAAGTATGTTTTCCATGCCAGCAACCCCTAAACTAAGAATAAACTAATTAGAAGTTTATATAGCAAGTGAATGAAATCTCTCCATGGAGACAGGGACATCATTAAACAACTAAAGACACATGTTTTCAGATTATCAGATATTTCCAATTGTCTACATAAAAAGGCGAATAATTGCCCAGTGTTTCTTGTTCAGCAGCAATGATTTTACAAGTATGTTATTTTACAGTATATTCATATATTATAATCTTATATGAAAAACTTAACCTTCCATAATAAAAAAATGAGAAGGTTTAAAAACATTGTGAAAAAATGAAAGAAGGTTCAAAAACATTGTGAAAACAACTGATATGAACAATGTGAACGCTCATTTCATTAAATATCAGGGGGATAAGAACAGAATACACAACATAGGGCACTTCTGCTACGGTGAACCAGAGTCGGGAGACTACATAGTACCATATTTTCTTACAACATGGGTCACAATACCGAAATGGGAGGCAACATTGAGGAACGCCACGTCGTACAGAATGAAGAGACAGGGGTTCATTATTGACAATGTAGTGTGCGGAGAATGGTTAAAAAAATAACGAAGAGGTGTTCATACCGAATCCAGAACCGTACTTCGACGTTTACGTTGATCATGGACAGTATTTAGGGTACGGAAATCTGGTGGGAATAACAAAGGTACCGAACAAGGGATTTCGGGAAATTCAGCCCATGAACGGGAATGATGCAAAGCTACCAAAATACAAATACTCCTACGGCGCACCCATACACATCATAAACAAAATATGTGAGGACAATCCGATAACTGCCGATAACCAATTGGCAGACGTCAGGATGATAAAACTTCATGACTGGCGAGAAATGGAAACGGTGAAAAAAGTAAGACAGGGTGACACGTTTGCCCACATTTGGCATAACCACAACCTTCTGAGGAAACCAATCACAAACATCATGATGCAACAAAACTACTACGTTCAAGGTTCAATGGTGGCAGAGCCTTCGATAATGACAAGTAGCATCACAGGAGGAATAAGCACAGCCTGGGATACAGGACTCAATGTAAGCACGGCACCAAGATACGGTACACTTGCGAAAGAAGGAGAGTCCAACCTAGAGCATGAGAAGGCGAGAAAACGTATGAGAAGCTAGGCACAGGAAGATCTAGCACTCACTGAGGTGGCAGACATTGCGTTCGATCACCAAAGATCAAGAAAAATGAACGATTCCAAGCCTGGGTTCGAGCAGACTTCAGGGTGCTTCACAGTAACAGAACATTGATTAATAAGGTGCTATACACAAATGAAGACACGCCAGAAATGGTTCTAATACACGTACCGCCCATCCTAAGATCGAATTCCTCAACGGGAACATTATACTTTGTTTTTGAATTGACTTATATGGTAGAGATTGAATGTTACTACGACTCAATATCACATCCACAAAAGGTGCCACTAAACAATCACACATGTGCATTAATGGCATCATCCCAGAATTCCAACTACAAGTTAAACAACATCGTCCAACCAAATCGTCACTTTCATGGGCAGACCCCGAAAGGGATGATACATAATCAGGGCACCCATATATGGGCAGACGAAAAGAGTGGAAAATTACTGGGATTCTCATATGGTAATTTCGTGAACAAGTAGGGTACTGCCAGTGAAACATGATATCACTGACAGGAAACAAAGGAAGCTAGGGGTTATAAAAATAACAGACAAATAGAAAAAGGAGCAGAGCATAGACAGAGAAGCTACCAGACGTCACGGCAATACAGCTAGCATAAAGAAAACATTATGGAATCGCCAAAGACACAGCCGGCCATAAAAATCGACTTCAACAACACAGTCTTGAACAACACAAGCGAAGGTAGAAAAATCACTGCTTACACGTGGATCTACCGCTGGGAAAACGACAGTGAATTCATAAAACGCAGAGTACATCCAAAAAGCAAAGGATGCTATTTCGTTCAGGGGTAAAGCTCACAAATATTTAAAAAATATTTGTGAAAACAGACCGTACATAATTGTTTATCACCGGGCAGGACCGTCAAAGCTAAAGAACTGCTCGGACGTCGATCACTTCCACATGATCACATGGCACTATGCTCATCCGACATCGGAGCATAGTTTTAACACTTTGAAAAGGATACTATCGGAACGTGGAGAGAGACCATATGTGATCAACTGTCCGAAAATTTATAACCCGTACGATCTAGCGAGCTACTTAGAGAAAGAGCCAGAAAAAAAGAATAGTAATCGCAGCCGATCATTTGAACACTGCCGGAATGAAAAAAATGTTATCTGCTATAACAAAAGAAACTATTACCTATGGAGAAGGATGAAGAAGAGAGTTCATATATAGGATCGAAAACAGGCACTCTGTGGGGTCAAAAGTATGACTTCATCATAAAAATAATGAAAAAGGGCAACAGCAATGACATAGCTGACATTATGGTGTACTGCAAAACACACACACACAACACCAACATAAGAGACACGTGGTAACACATATTCAGAAATACGCCACAATTAAACAACATAGTGCAAGCAGCAGCCACAGACATGAACGTAGTCACAAAAGTGATGCCCGGTATGGGAGCAAATAAGACAGAAAAAGGACTACTTTGAAATGGAGAGGAATAGATATTGGGATGTACAGACCTCATTAAACATATACGAGGACTGGTGCAGAAATCACAATATCGACGCAGAAGAATTCGGAAGAAAAACATTCGAAGTGTGTCATAAAATTAGGCCGAAAATTAACGGCCTACACATTACTGGGGTGTCGAACAGCGGAAAAAGCTATGTCTTAAGGTCAATACAAAACAGGCTGATGAGGTGCCAAGCATCAGATAACTTCACATACGGTAGCTGTGTAGATAAAACTTTAATCTACACAGATGAACTATGGTTTACACCGCAAAATGTGGAGGAAGGAAAGTGCATCTTAGAAGGTACAGAGACGTACGTCAACGTAAAATACCAGAGCGAAAGACTACTACGAAGAACCCCATCAATGTCAACTTCAAACGACACATAATAAAACAAACTTTTATATTGCTCTGAGGAGATAGAAATTTTGATTTTAGACATGTAACACGCGTCTGTGCAGAAAAAGTTTTCTAACCAAAAGCGCTGTTTCGAAGGTGACTTCATTTTCGAAGGTTTTTATTCTTTCATTATATAACTATTATATTTCATCAATATTAATTGTAATTTAGTAATAAATATAGTATAAAAACGTATACATATGTCTTTGTTTTTATTGTATGCCGACATGATACCTTGCATGTGAACAAATAATTTTTTCCCAGGTCAAATGCTGCCATGACACCTTAGCTGCGAAGAATATATTTTTTCGAAGGTAAGAGGAGGGGGGGGGGCAGAGAAAAAGATTTCTCAGCAAAGGTCTGGTGAAACTTAAATAGGCACCTATGCCAACAGAGATTAAGGTATGGCACACATATTCTATTCTAAACCTTCGCCCCTAAAAAGGAATACTAGTTAAAAAAGCCATTCCCCTATACCATAGAACGTTCTTCTGGTAAAACAAAATTGTTCTATGCATGAAAAGATCCAGTCCATCTTTGCCCTGTGTTTATGGAGAGAGTGAGAGATAAAAAAAAAAAACAAACAAACAAACAAAAAACAAAAACTTTTGCCCATCCATCTGCAGATTTTTATTGGTGGGTGAAGGATAGAATCTGTCCACCATTGTTCAAGTATTTATGAAGGAGGGATAATCTGCCCACTATTGTTCATGTATTTAAAAAAAAGAATTTACCTCAATAGCTCAGGCTTTTAAGAAAAAAAACAAAAAAAGAGGAACAAAAAAGGAAAAGACAAATGTATAAGCTGCTGTCCTAAACTCAAACTCTCTGTAGACATTTATTTAAAGAACAGAAACTTGACTAAAATCCTTAAGACAATTTTATTTCCTATTGATTTTAAAGATCTAATAACATAATAGCAGCTGTTTTTTGGATTACTTCTGGAATCTTCAAATGTAGTTTTGTTTGCTAGAACTTGATCTTATGACCTACCAGACATTAACAGAACCTCTCATTTTAATAAAATTGGGATCAGTTGAAAGTTTACAGGAGACAATGCAGGCAATGAGACAAGTTGTTTGCATTGAATAGAAGACAATAAATATTTACTTCCTGCTCAAGTCCCTGCAGCCAGCTAGCCTTCTTCACATCTAACATCTAAGTCGCTTCTGATGTTCATCCAATAAACCCTGTTCCTATATACTCTCGAGAATGGATCAAACAGGCCCAACTTTAAATTTACATGAGTGGAACCACACCTTTTGATTGGACAAAAAAAAAAAAAAAACACACACAAGGGGAATATATATATATATATATATTTTTTAATATTAAAAAAAAAAAATCAATCCCCAACAGTCAACTATAACAATTATTCCTGGTGGTCCTTTGTAGAGCCAATTCTAAAAGAAATTTTTGCATACAAATGTAATAATTTTTCACAAACCTGGCTTTCTTTTGATACACTTCTCTCAAAAGTATACAAAACAGACTATTTGATACGTATTTATTTATAATTTTTAATTAATTATTTTTAATAATTTTATACTATTAACTAATGAAATTTTATAGTAAGGGTACAACTGGCAAAACATTCATATTCATTTTGAACAACAAAGAAGAGGATATTCGTTTGACAGTAAATAATCATATTCACTTTGTTCAAAATATGATTCTGGCATATAATCTATACTAAGTGGAAATTGTATGGTTGACAGGTCGACAACATGTTGTCATTTTAAGGGAGATAAATTGTAATGGTAATATCATCCTGTTATCCTAGAAGGAAACATCTGGTATTCATTGACTGAGCAGCTAGTATTGCTTTCAGTTGAAATTTATAAAATCTTTCTCTTTCAAATTACATGTGATATCCATTTTAGTTGTTGCCACTGTTGATAGTCTTCAAATAAAGTGGTTTCTGTTATTTGGAGCAGTTCTTTATTTGTGATGCCAGTCCACAATGTTCAAAGAAGAGTGATTTTTGCCATGACCCTCTGACTTTATCTACTCCAAGCTTTTTTTTCACTATTGATCTTAGAAAGCAGTTGTATACAGCTGACAGTTTAGATATTTCCGAAATGGGTTTGGCAGCATGCATGACATCCATATGAAAGTCTCAATCTAACAAGGCTATTTAAGAACATGACTTGAATTTTCAGGTTGATGTTTTGGTTTCATAAGCATTTATTAAATACTTATATAGTTATATACTGTATATCATGTTATAATTATTTTTTAAATAGGTTTTTATGATATTTCTTTCTTTTAATTGTGTAGAAATTCAACATTTT